CCAATGATCCCATTTTGTGCCTTAGAGCCTTATCCAAGTGTTCCCTGACTTTGTGCCCTGGCACTTCCCTGGCGAGCCCGTTCCAGTGCCCCATGGCTCTCTGGGGGAAGAACCTTTTCCCAATATTGATTTACTGAACAAACACACCTCTAGCTCTACCAGGACTGCAAAATTCTCACACAAAGTCCCAACCCCTCAATCCCCTGGTGCAGAGCTGCAGCAGACTCACCATTGATGTAGAGTGCCAAGGGAGCTGTGGTCAGGAGCACGACCAGGGGCTGCCCCGCGAAGAGGGCGTAGAGCAGCCCTGCAATGCACTGAGCAAAGATTGTCTTCCGCACATCTGGAGTTGGGCAGGATGGAAAAAAACCAAGGATTTCAGTCAGCAATTCCATAATCAAGGAGCATTCACAGGGCAGAGAAGCCAAGCACAGAAATAACAGCATTTAGAGATCACAGAGGTAACKCACTTGACATCCTTTATTTGTACCCATAATTTAGGCTTCCACGTGTTCAGTTAATTAGTGGACTCTGGGATTTTTTCTGTGTTTTGAGATATTTTATAATATATTTATTTTATTTAAACAACTATAAGACAACCAGAGTTTGTGGAGGCCATCAGGATATGATCTGAACTGTGACTGCAGCACGAGCTGCTTTTACAACTGGGATAAAAGGTGATGCTTAGCTCTGTCCCAGGGGTTGGCAATCAAATTCAGGTCAAAAGCACGGGAGCTTGTACCACAAAAAACATACAGATAATTACACAGAGTCAGCATAATTCAAAAATACAGWAGCATGCATCTGTATCAGTCCAAGTCAGAGGAAAGTATCCAAAGCAGCATTCAATTTTTTTGGTTTTCTAAAAAAGTCRTGAACTCAATTAGAAAAATAATCCTTTAGTTGTGGTTTTGGGATTTTTCCCCCCTGTAAATAAAAACTATCAGAACTTTCTGTAACCAGAACTACTCAGTTTGAATACAGGGAATCAGATGCACAAAACCAATAAATTTAAAGAGCACAAAACTGATGAACTCACCRATAACTCCTCGGGTGTTCTCATCATTGAGGGACCCGAAGGCAATGGATGGAAGGAGGCAGGCAAAGTACAGAAAGATTATGGTCGTGATGTATTTTCCTATAGCTTTGTTACTCCCAATAATACCTGGGGCAAACCACAACAAAAAAATATCAAATAAAGCACTGAAAACCCTCTCACACCAGCCAGGGGCACCATTTGATCACACCATGTTGAGAAAAAGTAGAAATTTAGAAATTCAGTCCCCACTTTAAACACGTAACTGAAATGTTAATATTTGATTCTGCACAACCCACACTCTTCTGTTCATCTGGGACCAGAAGCGGCAGCAAAATTGCCACCAGGCATTTCTGACATCATCAAAACAGGAAATACAAAAAGCCTTTTGCTCAGTTTTGCCAGTCCCCAAAGCTTGGAAGAGGATCAAAAGAGAGACTGTATATTTAGGATTCACAAACCCCCACCCCCTGCCTTTTTAACACCAAATTTCTAGGCATTTTGGATTGTGTCCCTATGAGCTTCATGATGATYTCTTGTCTTCCCAACTCTTGTCCTGGGCAAGAAAATGTGAAGCACTTGTCTTTCCCTAGGCAGAAGTCTCAGGTTATAGTTTGGAATCAATAATATGCAATCCTGAGCCAAAAAACTGGCAGCAGAGCACAAAAACAAACAGCCCCAGAGGTCAGGAATGGGTGCACTGAGATTTGCTTTAACAGGSCCTGCTGAAAGAACAGCTTCTCTCTTTTCCATCCACTCACCCCTCTCATCTCCATCGGAAAAAACACACCAGGCCAAAACACAAAGCAGCCAGAAAGAGAATTAAAGTGTCAGAATGTGRATTTAAGAGCCTCTGAAGTAGCTTCCCTTCCCCTTCCTGTTTTCAGGCTGATGTGTGATGTGAGCTCACTGGGGATGMACAAGAGAAAGGATGAGATGACAGCAGCTGATACTGCTCCAGAAGTTTTTCCACAGAATAGAGAGGATGCACTGGAGAAAAGTGTCCTCAGCCTCCAGCCTGCCTGTGCCACCATCCCTGATGGTGCTTTTCCTCTGAGCCACCTGGAAGAGTCTGGAGCTGCCCAATTTTCCCTTCTGGAAGGCTCCAGAGCACTGAATTCCCACTGAATTCCCACCCAGCATCTGTCCTGAGTTTCCCAATACCCACCTAAGCTTTTACAGCCTCAGCCCCTTGCTGAGAGAGGCAAAAGCTGAGCTGGATYAGAGAAAGGAGGGTTTGGCTTTAGAGGTTATTGGTGCCACACTGAAAATCTCTATCACAGGAATGAAAAGAACAAAAACCTCTCAATGACWTTGGGATCTTATCTAACATCTGCTTTCTGCACCGTTTGCAGGGCAGAGATAAGGATGGGACGAGGATGTGAAACCCAAAAATCAAAGGTGAAAAAAAGATTCCACATGAATGAAGGACACCTTGTGAGGTGCCTGTTTGCAGACAGRAGAGGAACATCCTCAGCACCCTCAAACTCTGGGCTAAAACCTGACAAGAGGCATCTCAAACACGCAAATATGAGCTTGACCTTTTGGGAGTCACCRGACCAGCTGTTCCGAGGCAAATTCCTTCCCATTTATTGGGAAGATTCAGAAACCACAGGTCACATTCCTGACCACTCTTGGCAACCCAAAGGGCYTGAAATGGAATTCTCACAGCTGAAGACTTCCTGTGATCTCAAGTCCAACAGCTGCAGGCTCCTATCTCACACTCCAAACTGCCCAAACTTTGGAGAAAAGGAAGGATTTGGCAGGACAAATGGGACAGAGGGTTGGTTTCATAAATAGACACAGTCACACCCTTGTTCAGAGGATTCTCTRTCACTCCAAAATATTGCTTTTTGGACAAGGGAGACTTTCCAATCAGAAAGGTCAGGGGCAAAAATTCCTGGAAGCTTTGAAATAATCTCTGAAGGGACAACCAGGTGCAGAGAAGCAAATAATATCTGTTTTTTAAAAGTACAGGTAGTTAAACCATAGCATGAGAGGGCAGAAGGAAGAAGCCTTGAAGAGCATCACAAAAGCTCATTTTCAATTTCAATCCTGGCAGGTCCTGGAAGTCCTTGTGCYACATAAGGACACGACCTCAAGCTGCACCAGGGGAGGTTTAGGTGGACAGGAGGAGGAATTTCCTCATGGAAAGGGATGTTAAACATTGGAATGGGCTGCCAGGGAGGTGGTGGAGTCCCCACCCCTGGAGGTGGCCAAGGAAGGACTGGACATGGCTGGTGACAATGTGGGGACTGGGCACAGTTTGGAAGTTTTTCCCAACCTAAACAATTCTGTGCTTCCTCCTGGCTGGGTCCAAAAATTCCAGTACTTTCTTTAATCCCTAATCAGACAGATAATATTCTAGGATCAAGAATCTTTCTGGTGGGCAGCAAAATGCACTTTGTAACGGAGATAATAATTACACCAGATTAAATCTCCTTCCCAAAGATGATTGCTCACTCTTTAATTGCAGTCACGAGCAAACACTGCCTCTCCTTGCACAGCCCCACCTGCCACAGACACTGAAATTCAATATTAACCACAATGTACCTTTCTGCCTTTTGAAAGCCAGCATCTGGTGAATATTTTTAGGATGTTTTGCAGCCTGTGACTTCATCCAGAAGAAGGTGGGCTGCTTTATGGTGCCATTTCATCTGTGACAGGCTCATAATGCCACTGAAAAACGTGTCACTCCACTTAACCCATGTGAATTCATWGCACAAAAATCAACTCTTGGTATAGCTGGGAAAAAAAATTGAGTAGCTGACTATTACTGGAGCAATCCCCTGAAATTAAGATATAGCTACACACTGAAATAGGAAGCAATTATGTTCATCAACGTGACAGTTCCATTTTACCTGCTTGGATTTCTGAAATGTCACAGTTTGTAGAGACAAGGTTACAGTTTCAGGGAAAACTGCTGGCCTCACTTTGCTTAGGATTTTACAGCAGTAAATTAATGACTTCAGGAACTCCAAAGACCAGGTTTACAGCTCCTGAAGTCTATAAATTGTACATTTACTAAATCAAAATCACAACTGATGGACATCCTACAGGCTGGCTGTTAATGTTCCTTCCCAATTCTCTTAAATATCCTATGCAAATCAAGTTTAATTACACTGACCTGCAGCACAGCAGCAAAGATGTGTCCATGAAAGCCCTAGTTTTTTTTTAAGAAGTGCTTTTTAATATTAAAAACACAGTAAAATTCAGAATTGCAAACTTCTCCCAATGCCCTCAAGCTGGGTTTTCATTTATGGGATGGCTGCTGGACTCTGCCCMATGTTCTGAAGATGAATCAAAGTCCAGTGAAAAGTAAATCAGAGAGCAAGTGGGACTAAGAACTAAACTGGAAGAGGAAATCCTCAAAGTGAGTTTGGAGGAGAAGCTGAGGGAAGAGACCATGAAAAATCAGATCAAGGGCTCAGACCTTTCCCTTCCCATCTTACTTTCTTCAGCCTATTTCCCACGAAATCCTGGGTTCTCTTGGAAGGAAACATCCCCAGACAAAATAAGATGCTTTTATGAATCTCTAGAGGATTCCTACCCATCCCTGACACAAAGAAACCCCAAAGAAACCCAGGTTGGATGTTTTGGGGCATCATGACAAGCTCAGGATGCTAAACTTTGGTACCCAGGTAGCTTTTAGGGATGAAGAGATGCAGGAACTCTCTCATATCTGATCTAAGGCAGGAGAGGCATGGAAGAGAACAGGAAAAGCCTCTCTGCAATTCCTTGATTTCCCCTCCTTCCTCAGGAATGGAATCCTGCCAGACAAGGGCGCTGAGGCAACCAGGGGAAAGCTGAGAAGGATTTGGCACATGCCAAAGTCAATCCAYGGGCAGCATTTCAGCTCTGGGTTCAGGCCAAGGTTTAAACTCTGAGCTACCTCGATCAGCAAGACAAAAGTTCTCTTTTAAATCCCATTTKTCCAGTGTTTTCAGCCCACATTCCAGGGAGCTTTGGAGATGTCCCTCCTGCAAAACACCACAGCAAATCCCAAGGATGCTGCCAGCAGATGTGCAGGCTCCTGAGCTCAGGAGCTGGTGAGGGACCCTCTGCAGGACCAAGGACAGGGGGAAATCCACAATTCCAGCTGAACTATCCATCTACAACTGTGCAGCAAAGACACAGAGCCAGAAAAACAAAGAGAATCAGAATAAGGCTGAGTTCTCCTCTTTTTCCTTCATTTTCCCTCCCCAAGAGGTGAAGGGCTGTGTATATGTAAGAACACAACATCAAAGCTCACCATAAAAATCTCAGGCACCTCAAATTTCCCATTGGGCACTTCAGGCACTGCATTTGTGTTTATTCCTCTGCGTTGCACCAGAAAATCACCCAGTGAAGAATCAGAACAGCAGCTTTCAGGAGTTTCAGAAATCTTTTATCTGAGTCCAGGCAGAATCCTCTCCTTCACTCAAACCAACCTCAATGTTAAGATTTCTGGAAGCTCCTACAGTTTGAGTCTTAAAGAGCAATAAAACTGATACCAACTGGGCTAATTTGACAGGATCAATTCAGTCAGGTTTTTTGGTTTTTTTTTTTTTTAAGATAAAATCCTACACAAAGATCAGGCCAAATGGGTTAAATTCCAGTTTAAATGAAAACTACAGGAGTTCTCAGRCTCAGCCCAACCCAATTATTCATTTTCAATGCTCCTGCTGGAAGACACCTATTACAAGACGTCTTTAACACTAAAATCCTTTAGAAAAAGTTTAGAAAACTCTTCCTTGATCCGTGGACACGTTGGGAGAAATGAATAAAACTTTGCCACAAAACACAGTTGACAAGTTCCTAACATGGAGTAAAAGGAAAAAAAAAAAGAGAAAGGCTATTCCTTTCTTTCCTAAATGATGATGGTTGAGGATAATTTAACAGCCAGCTTTGTGTGATGAGGACCAGTCCCACAAAACTCCAACTGGCCAAAGATTTGCTGGTCCCACAAAAGCCTCATTATTTATCACCCTGCCCTTGATGGGTTTATCTGTCTAACCCCAAAGCCCAGGATGCTTCTGAGATGGAGGATTTAGAGACTCTAACTATTCAACTATTCAGTATTTTTGTCATTCAGAGCTCTTTGATGGTGCACATGTGGCTGTCTGGAGTGCAGATACTCAGTGAGCTCAAATCCCTCATGTTCTGATGCTCTGAGATGCTCCAGGAATTCCACATTCCTGATCACCTTCGGTCTCGGTGGTTTATGGCAGATGCTTCATGCTCCATCTGTTTTTCATTTCAAGCAGTTCCTTAAAGAATTCATCCTAATTTCTGGTTTCTGGGAAGAAATGGCCATACTAATATGGTGTTTTTTGTAAAATCCCCTTTTTCCTGTATCCCATTGAAAGGGCACAACTGCTCCTAAGGTGAGAACCTCACATTTGAGCTGAAGTAATTCTGGAGTCTCATTGGGCTCTTTTCTGCTCTTTTCCACTCTCCAGAAGTTGGATAACAAAGCACAGACACTTTTTAACCTGCAGYTGCATTTTATACCATTTTTATGCTCGTTCTGTACAGCAATCTACACAAAGCCTGCAGAGCTTAGAGCCAACAGCCCAGGGTTCAGGCAGCACCCACAGGGTCATTTGGGTGCATTCAGAGCCACAACATGGACCCTAATGGGGGTTTCCAAATCTGCTGAAAGCTAGAATTGGCTGCAGGACCATTATCTGATGGTTTGGTGCTGCTGTGCTCAGACAGGCACAGCAGATTCTGCTCTKTTGAGGTGAACTCAGGTCCCCAAGAGGTGCTTCTGCAGCAGTTCCCTGCTCAAGTGCTTCAATGTCCCTTTCTAATGAAAAATGAGCCTTTGACAGCTCTAGAAAGCAACAGCTAAATGGAGGAAGTGTCCAGATCAGGAGCTGAAGTCTTCTGCCAGACCTGATGCCAATGATGCACATGCCAAGGGATGTTTCTGTTTTATCAGAATCCTTGCTGCTCCCCTGGACATCACTTTATATCCCCCTTCCTTTTCACCACACCCTCCAATCCCCAGAGAAATCTCGATTTGCCCTCTCATCACACTGAGTCTCCTGGAACAGTTCCATCCCAGCAGTGACAAAGCACCTGGAGAACACACCCAGCACTCAGCCCCTGTGCTGAGCCAACATCTCATCCCWAATTCCTCTGCTGGTGGGGACCATCCTGGCTAGGAGGCAGTGAGGACAGATAGTCACAGCCTTGGCCACGCTGCTCTGAAGCTTAAGCTGCTTGTAGAAGGCGGCTTTGCACCAGGATAYTCTGAAAATTGGGGTTTGGGTGGGCATCTTGTTTTTCTTGTGCCTAATCCAAGGAAATCACCCTCATCTCATGAGCCTTCACAGCCCTCATGCAGGGAGGAAGGCAGGGATGTGGGCTTGAGCTGAGATGGATTTAACAGCAGGAAGGGATAAATCCCTGATTTATCTGATAAATCTCCAAGGTTCTCCCTGCCTACACTCTAATTCTCTATTTCATCCGAACTTTCCGGCTGTGATACTTGAATATCTTAACCAGCTCTCCAACAAGTGGCAAGAAATACATTTTGATGTCAGGCTGGGGCTCTGTAACCACGCTCTGCCCTGAAGATTCCTCCCAGCCTTTGAGAAAGGGAAAGTTTCCAAGTGAAAAGGGAGAAAACAACTCGAAAAAGCCCCAAGGCCACTGTGGGAGCTGCATGCAGCCTGACAGCTGAGGCTCAGTGTAAACACTGTGAGCTGCTCCTGTGATCTGGCGGCAGCGGACGAGCYGTATCCTGTTTTTCACAACACCCAGCTGAAGTTACCGCAGCTCACATTTTGTTTGAGCATTCTCAACTCCCACAGCATCACTATAATTAGTGTGGAGCCGGCTTGCAGAGGCAGCAGAGAGGGCCTATCAGGCCAGTGCTGACTAATTAGATTGCAAGGAGTTGATCTGAGTCTCCACACGGTGATAATCGATCCATTTAATCGCTGCTTAATAAAAATTAAAACCCTCACAGAGCCAGCACCTTCATTAAGGAAACGCTGCAGGAGCCTCATCTCGAGCGCTCCACGCTGCCCATTCACTTTGGCTTTTGCCAAAACACCCTTTGAAACAAGGGGCAGGAGAGCTGTTACACATCTCAGAGAACACATTGAATGCACACTGTAAACAGGACATCACATCACAAAAAAAAAATCCCAAATGGGGGCAGCGCTTCCATAAACATTGGCCAACGTACCATCGGTGAAATCCAGCGCGTACACTGGGAGTCTTCGTGCAATGTCATCAGAAATCCCCTTGCCAACACTGAGAAACTCGTGCAGCTGAAGAAAGGAAGGAAGTGCTGTGTCAGTGTAAAGGCTCATGCATTGTTAAAGAGATTAAGCTCCTTATTCAACCCCGATAGGAGCGAAAGGGCTCGTTTTGAATAGGGCATTCAAATCCCGTCTTGTCATGATCATAAAAATAAACTCGCCGTGATTCAATTTATATCCTCACCACATTGTAAAAGAGAAAAGCCCCCAGACCACCCTGTTTTCCTCCCTTCCTTCCCTTTTCTCCCCCTCCCATTCCTATCTGCATCCCTGTTTTGCAGGTGAGGGAGCTGAAGATCTGCTGGGAAGGAGCAGATCTGGGGTGTCCTGGTGTTAAACACATCAGAGGTGCCTTCCCCATCCCTCCAGACAACTTTTCCTATAGCTGCCAGCACAAAAATTCCCCCAAATCCCTCTGAAAGAGGATCCCCTGCAAGTGGTTCCTCCTTGGCATTGCCAAGGAAAAGGAGACCTCAAAGAGATGTGAGGGAATTCAGGCTGTCTGCACCTCAACCTCCATCAACAGGGACCTGAATAAATCCACATAACCAAACCATSATTTCTGCCCATTAAGGGACAATAAAAACACAGGAAAAGGGTTCCAAAAATCCAACAGGTTCCTTTTTATTCTTGGTTTGGGGGCCTACAAGGTGCAGTGGGGTTGCTCATAGGATCTGATGCTCCCCTACAGGGAATAAGGAGCTTGTCWGGAATATGTGACAGCTGCTATTGACTCTCAGCCTTCCAAACCTCACAATTCCTTCCTTATGGAARGCACATGGAAAGCATCAGGGTAGGCAACACTTACAAATGAGGCACCTGTCAGRTTTTCTCCTGTTATTCTCAGAGCACACAAGCCACTCTGAAAATCAAATGCACCTTTATGCAGCAATAACAACCCCAGCTGCCTCGTCGAAAATGTTTCATGTATTTGCTGCAGAACCAGACACAGAAGACTTATAACCTCTGCTAGGGAGTGTAAGGGGAAAAATAAAAATCACAGACACAAAATTTACACCAACAGATCATCTCAGAACAGCAGGGAGCTCTTCCTTTGGCTGGTTTATGGGGAAACTGATAAAAATGACTGCTTTAGAAAGGACTTGACATTACAGTGCTCATTTAATTGACTACACGGAGCTCTGCCTTCTCTCCTGGGACTCACCTGTCTGCAGCACCTGGAAAATCAGAACCATCAACAAAATAAAGGAGGGAATCTTTTCCTTTAGAAGGGATCCACTGGGCACAGCAAGCACTGGGGTTTGGGTGCAAAACAGACTGCATCATCTCATATTTCAGCTATTTAAGTCAATTCTGTTRCARTTTGCCAATACACCTGCAGGACTTYTAGAAGTTTAGGACAGTTTCAACMATCAGGATGAGCAGACAGATGTTTTGCCAGCAGACACCAGCAAAACATCTGCATTTTAGGCATTTCCGAAAAATCCCCGCACTTCAACCATATTTGGCGGCAGAATTGGACATCAAAGCCAGATGCACTCAAAAAGCAATTTAATTTTTCCCCCCAGAAAGAGATTCCTGATGGCATGAGTCAGCCAGAGAATGACAATAGCTTCAGCCTGGGATGTTTACTTATCATGCTGCAGTGAGCACGGGGAAAAGGATGCTCGGGRTGTCTCATCTTCCAGGGAAGGAGGAGCGTGGCTGCTCCTGGCCTGGGGCAGGACGGAGGGAGCTCTGGGGCACAAAGCCCGTTCTGAGCAGCTGGGAGTGTGCAGGGGAGAAAAGCACAGCCTAACTCACCCCACAAGGAATGAGGGTGCTGTTTGAGACCCCCCCATTCCTTCAGGCAYTTGTTTCTTGTGGGTGTGAAATGAGGGGATGTCAGTGAAAGCCCCCAGTGGGGAACTGTGGGGAAAGCAGWTCCTTCTGTAGGGCTGATCCTGCTCTGAACCCTCCTCTTTTCTAACTTCAGACTCAACCTGGGCTGCACTGAGATATCACAGAATCACAGAATGGTTTGGGCTGGATGGGACCTCAAAACCCATCCAGTGCCACCCCCTGCCATGGGCAGGGACACCTTCTACTGTCCCAGGGTGCTCCAAGCCCCGTCCAATCTGGCCTTGGGCATTTCCAGGGGCAAACACAGCTTCTCTGAGAAAGCCATTCCAGGGCCTCACACCCTCACAGGGAAGAGCTTCCCAATATCCAATCTAAATCCTCTTTCAGCTTAATGCCATTTCCCCTTCTCCTGCCACTCCATGCCTTTGCAAAAAGTCCCTCTCCAGCCCTCCTTCAGGCCTCCTTTAGGGACTGGAAGGCTGCTAAAAGACTGAGCTACAAAAAATTAAAAAAAAGACAAAATACAAAAGACCAAGTTTACTGACCTCCARAGTTACAGCCCTTTTTGGTTTTAGYTTTGGTTTTATCCCCCAACTTATTGAAACAGAGGAAGTTTATGAAATTTTCTACTTTCCATTCTACAAATTTCTCCAAGCTTCTTGCCCATTATTTGAGAGGAAGAGGCTAAGCCAGCACTTAGCAGMTACAAAGTCAAACAGAAAATACCTGCCCCAACAACTCTAAGCCTTTGTCAGCCCTCCCCAGAAATACTGGGGGCTACATGAATATTTTACAGAGATCAGGAACACGAGTTTGTGCAAAAATACAACTTTCTCTTTATTCCTCCCTCCTGTTGATGCTGAGCACACACAGCCCCCTCAGCAAATGCACACAGGCCAAAAAATCACAGCCAGAAAAACATCCCAGCTGTTAGGGGCTCCTCCATGAACAAAATCACAATTAGATGCCTCAGTAAACAAGAGGATTTCAGGCTGACTTAATTATGATTGAGTACATAGCCTTGCCTAAATAATCCTCTGAGATGAGCCAAGGCAAAGTGACRGTGCTGCAGGCACAGCAGGGAATGTGACTGACACATCCCCCTCAGCATTTCAGCAGAGGGAAAAACAAGCACAAAAATCCCACTCCCACCCAGAACTGAAAGCCCATTTCCTCTCCCATCACTGCAGGACCCAGGGAAGAAGGGAGGCAGGAGGGCAGAGTTTTGTGTCACCCAGAGCCTTTACACCTTCCTGAGAGCTCATTTTTCATTGTCCAGGGGCTGCAATGAGGGGCTTCATTTCTCTGGGGGTGGCTGACAGGTTGAAATTACATTCCTGGTCTCACATGGGTTTGTGTTGCTGTTAAATGCTTCCTCTCCTRAAGGTTGTTGTCCAGGGGGAGGAGATGCTGGAGATGGCTCTCAGGAGATGAGGAATCCATCCTGGGGGCTCAAATCAACCTCACTTTTTCAGGTAAACCTTGGCTTGCCAGGAAATCTCCTTCCAGGCTCTTTGGGCTGGCAGGGTGAGGTGGAGATACAGAAGCTGCATCTCCCAAGAGCTCAAGGATAAAACGGTTTAAAAACAATTCAGYAAATCCAGGCACACAACTGGCAATGCCAAAAACAAGAGCTGAAGAAACAAGTGTCACTCTCTACAGCACTGGCTTGGGGAAATCAGGATTCTGCCTGGCCAAGGCTGCTTTTCCAAGCAGGCCAGCAGGAATTACCATCCCAGGGCCAACAGCTACAAGTTCAGTGTTTCATCCAGCCCTCCTCACCAAACCACAGAGCAGAAAACCCCCAGGAGACAATTAAAAAAATGTTATTTTTAGCAAAAGACAGAGCTAGACACTTCAAATGCCTTAACAAACACTCCTTTTAAAGGCCAGGTATAAAGGGTTAAACCTACTTTAGGTAAATTACTACTCCAAATATCCCTGCCTTGCATGACCTGGGTTTAAAGAGGGTTTCAGGATTCGTTCTGCAAACTGYAGAGCAGGTATGGGGTCTCACAAAGTTCAAAGAACTACCTATAAGAAAGGGGATTCTGCAGGAAAAACATGAGCTTTGCTCACTTCCAGATGTGCAGATCAAACCCCTTAAATCCATTCCAGGGGGGAAAAAAAAAAGTGATAAGTGAAGCAGCTCCTGCACCATAGGCAGCCCAAAGCTTTAGGGTTATTTGTAATGCAGGGACAGGAGCAGCCTGCTGGAGATGGCACAATTTGTTTTTCAGGTATGCTGTCTGCTTAAAGAATGGATTTCTGAACGGAAAAACAAAGCAATGACCAACACACAGGAAATTCCAGAAAAGAAAGCCGAGTTACAGCATTTCCCTCGAACTTTAAAGTACAAAGCAAGTAATGTTTTACAGAGCTACAGATCAAACAGGGAGAATTCAGGCCAAATACTGACAGGCAACTTTTAAGTGAAATTACCGTGCAGGGATGGCCAAGAAGTCTTTTGGCTGAAGGAAAGACAAGCAGCAGCTTCCTTCAGAACCTTCTGATTGTAAGGATTAAGTACCTTGGACTGACAACTGCACCGTGATCCATTAATCCCACCCTGGACTAAGCATCTGGAATCAAAATCCTGTAACCATTTCAACCCCTGGCTGCTCTGCATCCCTTCAGCACCTGCCTCTTTGAAGTGTTTTATTCCAGATTTACAGCAGAATYTGAGGAAGGTGCACACAGCAGCAGTTTGGGGAAATCTTGATGCTGGGAATGCTGACTGCATCCACTGGACTCAAATGTTCATCTCCTCACCCCAAATCCCCTTGGACTGATGGATTTTGGGCACCAGGGAAGTGGGGCCATGGCACAGGTGTTGGCCAAGCCTTACCTTGAGTGGTTTGCTCCCGTGTGATTTGTGCCCATCGCTCTTCCCTGAGGGTCTCTGGTTCACCACTGTCAATAAGTGGCGTTGGTGCACTAAGGCCTCCTTGAACTCCTCCTCAGTTTTGGTTTCCAGGAGTTTCTGCCGGAAGGCGATGTCCGAAAACATCGTGGCAAAGGTCCTGCCCACTTCTGTGGCCGTTTTGGTGCTTTTCTGAGCAGGAAGAGTTAAAAGAGAGAAAAAKAATTTGTAAAATGATTTTATTTCACTTCTGAAAGGTAAACCCCATAATTTACCCCTCTGAAAAGGAACCTGCCTGGCTGCCAGAGAGACCTGAGGGAGAAGGGCACATGTGGAAGCTGCTGCAGATGAACACAGCAGAAACCTGTGGATGCACGAAGACACAGGTCCTGACCAGAAAGTCTGATCAATCTTTACTCAATCACCTTCCCAGAACTCAATCCAATGCCRAATCATGCTGTGATTTTATCCCTGGTACTTTATCCCTGGTTCCCCTTCAAGACTAGACAAAGAGAAGTCTTTGCTACCTCACAGCAGCTCAGCATCGCTGCTCCTGRGCTGGAAAGCTGCTGTAGTCAAGGYTCCTGCAGGTACTGATGTCTTATCTRAAAGACTGAGATTATTGTGCTCATCTGATTCTGATTTTCTGGGCATTAAAACTCAATTCCTTCAGCCACTCTGGGGCAATTCTGGCAGCAYAAGGGGAGATTGAGGGCTCTCAGCTCAAGTAACACTGGGATGGAGGGAAGGATGGGAAAAAGCAGCTGAGAGCACACACATGCAGCACTTGTCTGTCTTCACTAAACGTTTGGAAGGGACAGGAGACTTGCAGACATGAAAAAAGTGCCTGTTTTCAAGTTTTGTCATTTCTGTGAGACACAGGCCTGATCTTTGGGGGTCCAACAGAATCCAAGCTGCTTTCCCACTGCAGGGAATTAGAAGAAAAGGGAACAGTGAAAGAGGCTGAGCTCCCCATCCCTGCACAAACCCCACAAATCCATTCTCTCCAGGCCTTGACCTGCTCATCTGCTCCCACCACTGGGCCAGGTCAGGTAAGATATTTGCCAAGGCCAAGTTACACAGAAGCAYAGCTCATTAAAATCTCCTTTTAATGCCAAGTTTTAACCACCCACCCTTCTCTACACTCCACACTCGTCATGCAGCAGCTACCAGAGACACCCAAACACTCCCCTCCCCAGCCCTGGAGAGCCTCCAAGCTCCTCACACTGCTGGGAAAAGAAGAGTGAGCATCTGTGATTGATCCCAATTGCTTCTCATGATTCACAACTGAACAGATGAACAATTTCTCCATCAACACAACCAAATAATTCCGTGTGGGTGACGCAGAGGCGCAGACGGGGGTGGCACTGAGAGTCATTGCTAATGCTACACTTCCTCCATCACTCACATCACCCTCCTCTCTTCCATTTGCTCYGAGAAAATGTGGCTGCCCCATCCCTGGAAGTGTCCAAGGCCAGGCTGGACAGGGCTTGGAGCAAGCTGGGATAGTGGAAGGTGTCTCTGCCCATGGCAGGGGGGTGGAATGAAATMATTTTAAATGTCCCTCCCAACTCAAACCATTCTGGAATTCCAGCACCAGGAATGTCCTTTCAAACACTTACTAGGGCACATTCAGTTTATGCTTTTAGGGAAAAAGTTTGGATTTAAGTGAAGGATTTTCCCTGGGCCTTGCTTTCAAAGTTTGTGAACCAGCTTGGATTTCCCATCAAAGAAGAGGCTCCACCTTTCACCTCAAAACAGCAACACTCCTTATGCTGGATGCTGCAAGGATTGCTTCAACATTCCCAATGCTCTCCCCATTTTTCCTTGCTCAGGGAGAYGAACAGTTTAGAGAGGACAAATATTTGCACCAAAACTCAAGTTTTTTCCATCTTCCATATTAGCAAGGCCAAGGATCTGGATTCCCAGCACAACAAATGCCCATTTTGTGGAGTTTTTTTCCCCTCCCCAGCCAGGCCAGCTGAATGTGTCGCTGTCAGCAGGTTAATTATTTTAACTGCTGCACCAGAAATGCGCACTTGGGGCTGGCTCCRCCAACCCATTTAAAATAAAAAAGCACATTGGCAAGTGTGAGCTCCACTTGGCCTCCACTCCCTTCCCTTAATTTGATGCTGACCATCRGAATTGCAAACTCTCGGGATCGGAGCGGATGCGGAGCCGTTTGCCGGGTGCTTTGCACGTAGCTGGCCCCAGATAACAATGAGGGAGAGATCCATGGAACTGCACACAGCTCCAGCTGCTCTCCCTCCTGCTTTTCACAAGAAACATCAATATGTTTTCAGCCTGTTGGCTTGGAGGTCGATGCCAAAAGTTCGGTTGGGAAAGACCTGCCAGAAATGCTGGGAAAGAAGGAAACACCAGGATTCCCATTTAAACGAGGGTGGTGGTGAAGGGGGAAGGGAGACAGGCCAGAGCAGCAGGGCTCAAGGTCACACAGATAGCACTGAAGAGCAGGAAATTAAATCAGGATATATCCGGTCCCAGCAAAGGTCCCCAACCTCTCCAGCACCTCCCAGGAGCTCAGAGCAGCAGCCCTAAGGTGTAAACAGCCAGCTGGAGTGTGAAAAGGTCTTGAGCTTTGAACCACTCTGCCATCAGCTGGAAGGACCACCTTGGTCAGGCCAGGRCTTTCTAGGAAGCCAGGATGGTGATCCCCAATTAACCTTGATGCACCCCACGATATCAGAGTCAAATTATCCTTGTGGGTCCCTTCCAACTCAGGATATTCTGATTGCAGCAAATGTGTTCTACCATGCCATTCTTGTCTACACCGACGAACCAGAACCTGAGCAAGCTTTAACCTTGCCTTTTCAAGTGCTAAAAGCTCTGAAAACACATCCCAAAAGGCCTCAGGGAAAGCCTGACCTTAGAAGCACCCCAGCTCCCAGAATGTCTCACCCTTGCTGCAGCAGAGCTCAAAACAGAATCATCTTCCTCTTGGCTACATCACCTCCAGCTGCTGCAGGGTAAATGTCAGCCCCATCAAGGAAGTTTGTTGGGAAGCAAMCCAGACCTTTGCTACAGACTCACAAGGGCTTTTCAAAAGCTTGGCTTTAGCAAGGAACAGCAGTTCTTACCTCTAAAAACAGCAGCTAAAGCTGGAGAGGGGAATCTATGGAGTGTTATGTGTGTTCCAGGTGTGTATGGGGATTACACAGTGCTCTCCTCCCCATCAGGATACAGGCCATGAGATCAGCCCACTAATCTACCCTCACCAACAGAATAAATCACCCTGACAGCTGYTGAGATCATCTCAGGCCTTTTCACATCCCCTTGTGTTTTAAAAATAACATTTATTAACCCTAGGAGGAGACAAGGACAAGCAAATTCAGGAGAACCCCCCAAAGTTCTGGTGTGAGAAGAAAACTCACCATCTTGGGAGGAGCCAGGACCAGGATCACAAATCTGACTTCACAGGAGTTCTCACCCCAGTTCTGAGGCCTCTCCAGGCGGCTGATGCAAACGTGACGTCGCTGAAGGGACTTTATAGTGCAACTGTAGGGAAAATGGGATCGTTAGACCGGTCCCCACAGCACAAAGTATGATTTACACTCATGCACAAGGAATAAAACCATTTTTCAGCTTTGAGAAAAATATCATGTTGATGGCTTAAGATGTTTGAAGTGTCCTAAACAGTGATTTTTAGGTACTATTAGCCCAACTCTGCTCCTTTTGTACAATTTGACATCCAYGTTTTCATGGGAAGTACCTTTTAAGATTTCAAGGCGCATTCTGCCTTTTCCTCCATCTGCTTTTTAACAGCCAAGAAAACAAATGACAGAGAGTGCAACCCACACGAGTACTTGCTGAGCTACAGAAGCTTCTACAGGGAAAAAAAAAAGCCTCTTATTAAAAAACACCTGCATTATTGGAAAGCAGATTACACTCCATTCCACCTGATCTCCCAAAGTGCTTCTGGAAACAGCAAGGCAAAGTGCCAAGCCAATATATTCCCACTCCTGCCTCAGGCAGAACTYGCTGTTGTAATGGCTTTCCCCATTTGCTCCCAGCTGTTGTTTTCCCCTTTCTGGCTCAGGAGTGTCACAGAAACCAAGCCTGACCTCCTTGCTCAAGATCCACAGAGGCAGGGTTAGTGCTCCGAGGGAAATCCTTGGCTGTGATCCAAGGGATGGGATGGATGTTTGACTCCCAGAACCGAGACTTGCAAAAAGAGTTGTGTTAAATAAACACAGGGATCATTTGCAGAGGCAGTGAGAGACCAGGTCTGTCTCCACCCTGGGATATTTGAACAGAGCTGSGAGCTGGTTTAGCTGTCACTTCTCCTGCTGGGAGCCTCTGGGGCTTGGTGTAGTGCAGGAGATGGGGAATGCCAGCCTGGAATGCAGCTCTCCTGTTCCCTTTAAAACCACCAACCACTGCCCACCTCTCCTGTAAACCACTGGTGAAAAATGCTCACAGGATGTGCCAACTGGAAGAGGAATGGAACCGTTTTCTTACCTCAGAGAGACTCTTCCCTTCCTTTTACCTGGTTCAAAGTTATTTCGTCTCCCTTTCATCCCTCTAAAAAGCAACTGTCACAGCCCTCCAATAGAAGGATTTATTTCTCCAACTTMTTTTCCATAATCCCAGCTTATTTCTTTCCTTTTAAGATGTATCCTCCATGCATCMTGAAGGCTGCTCCCTTAACAAGATCTTTGACATTGTATTTTCTATCAAGTTCCTCACAATTTGCTTAAAAAAAAAATAAAAATCTCACCACCAAGTATTTTCATAATAAATTTGACTTCATGATCTCAGATTGGAAGCAGCCTGCTTCTCCAAATTAATCTCACAGAGGCACTTGTTTGAGAGCAAACAGCTTAATTAGAACAACAGAGGGCACGAGAAAGATGACACTGTTTCATTTATTTCCTGACTCTCYACCACAGCCTCTTGTCCTTTTTCTATTTGATTAGTTTTGGAAGAGAGGAAGACCAAGGCAGGTCCTAAGGTGAGGAATAAATATCTTTTGAAAGAATTGAAAAGAGAGTGTAAGCTACATTTGTGTTCCCAACCAAAGCCAAGGCCCTGGTTGCAATTCAGCTGTGGCTGGACAGGAGCCAAACCTCCTTGGGTTACAGGTCAAAAAGGCAGGGGGGACACAGGAATTCTGGGCTTTGGACCAACTGGAGAACCTTCAAGTGGCCCAACACCTTCAGTTCTCTCACCTGCACCCACCCAGTCACCAGCAGGGAATGATTAATGCCCCATTGACATTAATTGGGAGCTCAGTTCTCAGCATTTTCATACATCAGCTGCTGAGCTCATCATTTCATTTGTTCTGGAAAGGAAGGTTTGCTGGGCATTTTGAACATCATTTCTATGGCCAGAAGCAGGTATCTCACAGAGCTGCACCAACACTTCCCAGACACCATCCCTTCCCTACCACGTGCACCAGGCAGCACCTGACCAAGCAAGAAACCACTCAAGTACAAAATCATTTGGAAAAGGCTGTTATAAAGTGCAACAATCAAACAAGCCACATGTTCTGGAGTTTTGATTTCTCCCTGAAGTCACAGGGTTATGTTTCAGCTCCAGGAATGATCTCCAGGGCTGTGTTTTCCAGAGTCCTGCCAACAGAGCCACAATCCCACTCCAGCTCAAGACCTTCTTGGTTACACAGGGGGAAACTGGATTCTAAAAATCTGATCTTTGCTACTGGGTCTCTTTCACATACAACATAATTTTCCTGGCAGCCACCTAAAAATTGTATTTCTCTCAGGAGTTCCCTRTTTCCTTAAGCTGAGGGGCTGGGAAAGAAAAGGATCTCACAGCACTGGAAGATTTACCACTGAGCACATTCACAAGACACCAAGAAAATCACGGCCATTATCAACCATTTTTATCTGAAACAGTTTTATCCATAAAGTTTGAGGTTTCTCACACTTCTGAGAGTTTCCTCCAGCTCCTCTGTAAAAGTGCTCTATGGGCACCGACACATGGATCTAAATCCCAGTATCACACCAGCAAAGCTGAGAATTTTCAACCTGTTTAAGTCAATGTACAGATAATTCAGGTCAGTAACACCTTTACAAATCAGGCTGGAGTTGATTTAGTCAGGACTAACCTGATTAAAATCAGATTTGAAGACAGAGAAGCCCCAGAGAATGTGAGATGTACCCGACCCTGGCTGCATGGAGGGGAGGAACAGCCTTTGTGCAGAATGCAGCCTCATCTGAGTCTGCTCTCCCTCTTATATCCATTTATTTAAGAAAAAATAGTGTCTTAAAACCTTCAGTGCAAGGCCAAGTCACTTCTGCCCATGCATCATTCAGCAGCTCAAGCTTTTCTTCAAATTTAAGCCATGATTTAGCTGACTCAAATCTTATTCCCTGTGTAGCACTTAGAGCTCCCACTTCTGTTTTCATTCCAGAATTCAGCTACAAATACAATACAAACCAAAACTGCAGTCCCAACTAGACTCGTGCAAATATTTGTAAAGGACAAAGGAAAAAAAAATGTTCCTTGGTTCACATGGAGAAATCCCAAGCCAAGCAAGACTGCAGGTAAAAGTCAGCACAGCTCAGGCCAASAAGAGTCACTTTCAAAATGAAACAACTTTTTTTTAAGCAGCACTTAAATAAGTTCTCACTAAGAAAAAAAAAAGCTGGAGTAAATAGCCAAAGCACCAAAAAACGGAGAACTAGCAAGACTTTTTCAGCTGATTCTAAATCAAGTCTGGTTTGGCCAAAGCTTYCAAGTTCCTTTTTGGTTTGAGTTGAGCTACATTTGATTCTCCCTTTTGGTTTGGCCAGAAAACTGAAAAATCTATTTTCACCCAGTATTAGTCATACCAGGAAATGCTGGACTGTGATTTAATGAGATGCCAGGTTGTGTTCTCAGCAGTTTTATCTTGATCCCCCAATAATTGAGCTCATAAAAAGGGCATTTAAATCACAGCACAAATTCTGCCTCCCTGCCCTCCTCTCTGCCTCTGGTGGTGCTGAGGGTGGCACTGGGATGGTGAGAACTGGCAGTGCTCCACCAAAATCCCAGATCCACYGAGTCCCACGTGCCCCAGGTCTGCCCCACACCCAAGATGTTATCAGAGTTAATAACACATTGCTCAACCAAATCATAAAAAAGGTCAAACTATGGAGACCTAAGAGAAACAGAAACCCTCTTTTAAAAGGGCAAGAAAGGAAGTTAATTCAGAAACAAATTATCCCTTGCAGTAAGAAAAAGTGCCCAGCAGAGGTAATCAGCCAGCCAGCCTTTTCCTGTCCCTACACAGAACAACAATGACACTTCTTGTTCTCATCCACTGCCAATAAATCTTCCTCTGCCGAGCAGCTCCAGGCACAAGCTTTGAGAAATCAGGATCTGCAAATGAGGAATGAAGCTGTGGCCAGGCCAGGCAGCTCACCCACAGCTTGGCACGGGCTGCTCTCAGCCACAACYCCAGCTGGAAATCCTTTTGGCCTGGGAAATGTACCTTGCTGGGCTCCAGAAAGACTCATCCTCTCCATGGGGAAGGATTTCCTCCAGGTCAATGCATACTGAGAAGTTCTTTCCATCAAAAAGCACCTGCAAGAGCTTCAGCTCTCCAGCACCACCTGGGATGGCCCAACTTGAGAGAGAGGCCCTTAAAAGAAAATTATTTGGCTCTCTGAACTCCAAGAACACCTGCCAGATGTTGGCTGTGGCACTTGGGACATGGTTTAGAGGTGAACACGGTGCTGCTGGGTTAATGGTTGGACTTTTYCAACTTCTGTGATTCTGTAAGGAGGCATCTCATCTCTAGACATATCCTGCAGGTACCAAAACAACCCATCTTCCATCTGCAGGACCCTAGAGTTTAAATCTGAGACCTTCTTTTCATGAAACAGCACCTGCAAAAGCTTCAGCTATCCAGCATAATCTGGAAAAATCCAAAAAGTGGTGAAGAGGCCCTTAAAAAAAAAAAAACTATACGGTTCTGTGAGCCCAAAGAACACTTGAGAGATGATGGTTGTAAATCCTGGAGAAGAGGCTCTTGCTTACAAGGYTCCAGCCCTTGTAATCATTCTTCTAAATGAAAATATTTGTTTTAAGCAGTCCAACTGTTTAATTTCTCATTTTGCCCTTTAGAAGAATAATCTGAGGAAGAGACAGCAACTGAAGCATCTCTGTTTGAAATCTATACAACAGCTAAATCAGAGACAATGTGACATTTCTAGAGACCCACAGACTTCTGGGTCTGGAAAAATCTTTAAACACACAAAATGGATTTGGCACCACTTCTGTCGAGAAAGACACCAGTAACATCTTTCACACAGTTATACATTAAATTTGGGATCTTACTTCTCAAATKTGACTATCTGAACAGCAGCCTTGCTGGTTATCCCCCACAATAATCTCACAATACCTATTTTTGAAAGGCTGCCTGGGTTTCTCCTCCACAGGAGTCACTGCCATGACCAGCTACATCAAAGCCAGGAATTCTACAGCAACACAGAGCACACAAACCACTGAACCACTCAGTTTACAGAGAGGATTTTCYCCTCTGCTCTGCCTGTTAAAACAGCTTTAGCAAAATCATTTCAATGCCCAATCCATGTTCTGTAGCATCCAGTCAGAAGAAATGACTCTACCACTACTCCATCCACACTATGAACTGCTTGATTTTGTGTTTTCCTGAAGATTCAGCTCTGAAAATAAGCAGTGATATCTATCTGCTGGCAAGGAGAATAAAACCTGGAAGCTTTGATGGCTGGGGAGCTCCATCAGCTCAGGGACGTTTGCTCCATAACCCACCCAGCTGGTGTTTCTCCTAGCAGGACACCAGGATGCAGTTAAGTCACTTTTACATTGCATATCCTCACTCCAAGAAGAAAAAAAAAAAATAAAAAAACCATTTTCATCTCCCTTTGCCAGCCAGTGAAATAAATTGGGTGGGATAAGACTGGCTTGTGGTAAGAGTCATTTTTTGACATACCCAATGGATAAGGAGGGGCTTCCTTGGGCTTTTTAAAGCACAAAACTGCAACACCAAACCCAGCAGCTCCCACTGGAGTTTCCTGCCYGTTTTTCCCAATCCAGACATGAAGAACACCCCGTTTACCCCTCTGTGCTCTGGATTATGGCAGGTCTGGGTGGTTCAGGGGCAGCACCTCTGCCCTGCTTCAGTCATTCCATGCTGGAGGAGCCCAAAGCACCTCCCTGAGCTCCTACCAGCAGCTGAGCTTCCCCACCTTCAAAAACCAAGGAAAACAGTCCAGAACTCCCCATTYTGGGACAGGACAATCCCTCATCCCAGGTTTTCCAAGGAAACAACCAGCAGCAGTTTCCCAGGGAACGAGCAAGATATCTCTGCACCAGTTTGTGTTTTCCTCCTCTGGTAAATGCTGGAATAGGAGGGAAAAAACAGTTGTGCCCATGGTTTCTGAGGTATGAAATCATGGCCTGGACTGATGAAGCTCAACTGCAACTCAGAAGATTTGCTTTCCAGTTAGAAAATAACCATGTACACAAACAGGAACCTTCATTCTTTTAGAGATGATTCGTGCTGGTCACTGGGACATGAAAGGCTTTGCTACTCTCAGCTCTCATTTTAGTGGAAGAATCCCAAGTTTTCTATGAATTGCTGTGTTCTGGTATGGCTTCAGCAAGATCAGGTTTTGGCCTTTCTTGACAAAACCAGCCCTAAAATCTGGTGTGAATCATAATAAAGTTGTTTCCTCGGGCTTCACTGGAACATTGAAACCTTGAGATCTTCAGTTCCTCAAGGGTTTGTTCTGCCCTGTGGCTGAAGCTCAGATCCATGTGGAACGTCTGACCTTGCTGCAGCATCCCTAAACCTGAAATCATCAGAAAAGCACCAAATCCAACAGAAACAGAACAACTATTTCAATCCCAGGTTCTTCCCACTTAGAATAAGCCAGATAAGAAATAATTTTCTCTCTCTTTTGTGCTTCTTTACAGCAGAAAAGAGGGAAACACGTTTTTGTCTCTATTAGGAATGTTCTTCTGCAGTCAGGCTCTGCACAACTCTGTGAAAATCCTACAGAAATTCTCCCTTCCTCATCCAAAAGTAATTTCAGCTGTAATATTTCCCCTCATAATCTACGCAGAAGCAACACCACCAAAACCTTATCTCTGAGCTGCTCTTCCTCATGAATATGATCTTATCATGGTACTCAATYCTATCTCATCCACCAGGAATTAAAAGTTGGTGGAGGTGCAGCAACCCAGCAGTGTTAATTGAAAATTTAGCAACGAGTATAGACCAAATGTAAGGATGAAGAATAGCAGATATCTTAAAGGTTCTTCCCACTCGTACGGAAAATTTTTTCATCAACAAATTCCTTTTACTTCAGAGGTTTGGAAGCTGTTTTGCAATCTGACTTCAAGAAAAATGTAAGATCTAAAAATATGGTTCACAATCTGTTGCACAATAACTCCAGCAGAAATACAGTGCAATAATTAGATAATTATAGTTAATAACTCATCATTGCTTTCCCACCACTTTCTTCTTCCAACAAAAGGAAGAAACAAGGAAAGTTTTGCACAAGACACCTTCGGGCTGTGAGCTTATTTTTCAAATCATCTCTTGTCATGGAAGCCAGGATTACTCACATGGATGCATTTAAAGCTCTGGCTCCCTTTCCTAAGAGGCTGAACCCACCCTTTTCAGTCTCATGTATGTAATCACAGCATTTGTATCATGACCTTTASAATGCTTTGGTGTTAAGGCAACACTCCCCAAAACCCTCTACAGCAGAAACTTCCATCCTTTGCATTCATTGCTGCTATGCCACCTATGGCATCCAAAATGGTGAAAACTGCCCAGAAATCCTCTTGGCTGAGACCATTTTACTGTATAAAGTAATTTTTTTCTTCATATTCCTGTTCTGTATGTGCCAGGTGTAAAAAAGTTCACTTCTTTCTCAGGACACAACCCTGATATGCAATCACCTCTTGTTCACATTGAAATCACATCCTTCTCTTTCATAAGAGATTAAAAAAAAGGGTGAGATTTTCCCTTGTTTGTTGTTTCCTTTTTGTTTTGTTTGTTGTTATATTTTTTCTATCCTCTTTTCTCTATTTTCCCCAGCCATAAGCAGAGGGCAGGAGAAGAACTGCCAGCAGAAGGAAAGCTTTTGTGACAGTTGTCCCAGCAAACTGGCTGTGAAGGCTAAAATATGTGCATGCCTTTAGGCACCTATCCGACACATCCCAGTAATTTCTCTGGGAATTACCATATTTCTTGACAACTCGACTTCCAGACTGCACAGRAATAAAGCAGCAGAGTCAAAAAGGCACTGCTTTGGCTGGCTCAGGGATGAAGGTTCTGTCCCCTGMRAAGGGACAGCCTGGCTCACCCCAYAGGCCTGACTTGGAGACAACTTCAAACCCCAGCTTTGGTCAAGTGCAAGCTGGGGTGAAGCCACCACGTCTCATAAATCCCAGGTGACAGAGTCCTTACTGTCCTAAGGGCCTGCTCCAATGTTTAACAGTGTTGACAATTAATCAGCGTCCAAATTAATTGTCAGACAAAGTAATCAGCGTCTAAATAGCGTGGAATGTCTGACTCCAATTTTCAGCTACAAAGTTTGGATGTTTCCATCAAAGGACCTGAGAAATCTTCTGGTACAAGCTCCCAGACTTTGGCAGGCAAAGCAGTCCATGAACCAGTTTGCTTGTCCCTTTGAGAAGTTCCTTTATTAGCATTTCTCAGTAATTAGCATTTTCTGGTGTTTTGTTTTTTGGTTTTTTTTTTTTTTTTTTTTTTTTTTTTTTTTTTTTTTTTTTTTTTTTTTTTTTGCATTCTTAGCTTGTTAACAGCACATTTCTATAGCATCCAAGAGCTGAATGCCCTGTTTTTTTTTTTTTTTTTGCATTCTTAGCTTGTTAACAGCACATTTCTATAGCATCCAAGAGCTGAATGCCCTGGAGAGACTGTGGTCACCTACTGCATGTCTGTCTGCAAAGAGGAGCAGCCCAAGGGGGGACTGAGATCCCACAGGATGGATGGATGGAACAGGCACCATGATTTTAACTTAAAAGGACACATTCTGACCCTCTGTTCTTCCCACAGATGGAAAAGGTTTGGAAGGCAGTGGGTTTTGCTCATCCAGCCCAGGTACTTACATGATACAGAGCCAGGACTGCTGATACTGCACCCCCGTGACTGTGGCTGTGACCCCTTGAATTGTGTCTGATAAGAGGTGAACTGGGAAAAGAAGAGAGGGAAACATCACAGGCTGTCCTCGTTTCTTCTGCAGCTGTAAATAACATTTCCTTTTAAATGGAAGCTGACTACTAATCCCAAGCATTCCTATCTGCCCAGTGGACTGATGCAGGGGTGGGGGCTGACAGARGGAGATGGAAACATTTGTCCTGCTGCTTTTGAATTGTGTCCCTAAACTATTCACAGCTTAGAAAAGCAGCTGCTTTCTCCTCCCAGCATCATCCTACTGCACTATTGGATTATTAGATTAGCATTATCCACCACACACACACAGGCAGGACTGGAAGGGCTGTCACCTTCCCAATCCCTGCCCWCTCTCCCCCTCTTCCCATCTACTGCTCTCACACTATTTGATGGCACTACTTACTTTTTCTCCTTTATTGGCAGAAAGGCTAAATTAAAGGGATTATAAGCGCGAAGCTCTAAGACAGGTAGCAAGAAGTAACCAAAGCATGAACATGCTTACTACATGCTCAGGACTTGACATATCTGTTAAACAAATTCACTCAGGCTGTGACAGTTACATTTGAGCTGCGATGGAACTGTTTGTACATTCATTCCTGTTGACTCTGAAACATCAGGGGTGCCTACAGAGAAACAATGCTCAGTTAAGCTTCTTCACATCTTGAGCTAAAAGGCAGCTATTTTACACTACACTAYGACATTTGTTGATAGATTAAGGTGACACCAGAGCCAACAGCCTTGGTTAGGGCTGTCCTGGTTGAGCTTCTGGAGGAAAATCAAGTGTCTCCCATCTCCTGCACTGGGCTGGGAATGACACCAAGGCTCAACCCTCCCCAGATACTCATCCAAAGCAGGCAAAATTCCTCAGCCTGTGTGAATTCAGGTGGAGAATCACAAGGCAAAGGAGTTATTGCTGAAGAGACACCAGCATGAGTCTCTTGGCTGAGCAGCGTTGTTTGAGGACAAGCAAACAAAAAGGGCCCACACAGACAAGACATCCCAGTGCTGCAGTTTCCTCACCCCATAGAGCACCACAATGGGTGATCTTCATGAAGCAGAGGCAAGACTCCACCAAAACACAAAAACCCTGCAGTGAYGTGGAAAAAAAATCAACCCACAGTGCCACATGCAACGTGCAAGCTTGGGGACCACACAATGAGTGTCCAGCACCCCACCATGGCAAGGATGGCAAACAAACAGCAGCCCAGCAGCAGAAGCAAACCAAGAGYTGATTACCGTTCCCTTCCCGTGGGGTCCCTGAATCTGTGAATAAAGTGCTCATGATTTTTTCAAAGTTGCAGCTCGGCTCCATGTTCTCGGGATCTTCCGCGAAGTGTTTCAGCATCTCCCGAAGAACRTCGTCCAAGGACGTGGCTGTTTCATCCAGGATGATGCTGGCTCTGGCCAAGAACCCATCCAGGTCCCGTTGGGCTCTGACCTCCTCCTCAAAATTCTTTAATTTCAGGTACTGTGTTGAGAAARGGTCAGAGCATGAGACAGCTGCACACAGTTACAGCAAAGCAGAATCTGGGTCCTTCACAAGCAGTTTTGCTGAGATTACCACCCAACCAAAGATTCTACTGGCCTCCAGACCACAGGAGAAAAGGCATTTTATCCATTAAAGCTTGCATTTTCTAGGTTTATCCAAACAGTGTGCCTTTAGGTGAATACACAGGTACCATTTATACCCTCACAAAGAAAGCAGAATTTATTAAAAAAACGATGGTTGGGTTTTTTTAACCTAGAATAAAGTAGGGTAAGTTGGCCTAAAAGTAAAAATGCTTTAAAGCTAGCATTTAAAAGCTTCTTTAGGTTAAAGTAATTCAAGAAGTTTTAAAAAATGTGGGTAAGTTATTTRGTAGAAATGGACACTGAGCTCAGCAGTGGAAAATTACCAGTGTGAAACTCAGTGCCAAGTGAACCCAGTTCTCAAACTGGGAACCATCCCTCCCCAGTGCTCCCAGTCAGGGAGTCCAAAATGGGAGGTGGGGAATGCCATCCAGCCCATCACCTTTTTTGACACTTGCTAAATTTCTCTTATTTCCACTTTCATGGAAGTTTTCTTCCTTTGTGGATTTAGCTTTAAAGCAATGAAAAAAAAACAAAAAAACAGCAGAGGCTGAGATAGCCCAGCTCTCTGCTGGTTCCTTCTGCTGCCCCAGACTTACTGGCCTTGGGATAGGAGACAGCCCCGGGTRCATTCCAGAACCTCAACTCCTCTCTGCACCTGTCAGCTGTGAAGGTGATTAATTGAGTGATCAACCTATAAATCCTTGAAAATCCGCACCCAGAGCACTGGACAAGGAGGGCTGGCAGTCCTGTCCCTCTCCTTCAACACCTTAAGAGTGAGTGAGGAAATGGGAACTGTGCTGTTATAGGGATCTTCCTTCTGATGGGAAAGCTGCCAGGCTGCAATTCGTGATGCTGAGAGACATTTAAACCCTCAGCTCCCCTCCAGCTCAGTCAGAACCAAGCTCTGAATTGCTCTCACAAATCTGATCCCCAGCTGCCTCCACAGCCAGGACCACACCATGTCCCCCCCAGGGTACAGGGCCATCCCAAAGCCTGACTCATGGGTCCCCTCCTTCCATGCACACTCTCTCTTACCTTTTCCATTTATAGACACAGGCAAAAAAATGCCAACATCTCCCTAATTACTGTAATTATCACAGCAACTATCAAGTTGTCAGTACACATCCATCGCAATTAGCACTGTTTTACTTTGCATCAATCACTTTTTCCACAGCATCCTTGAGAGGGAGGATTCTCTGAAGCGTTTCAGCTGCCACCCCCAAGGCTTTGTAACCATCTGCTCGTAGGAGAGGAGACRGTGACACAGCTACAACTTCACCTCAAAAGTGCAAGCAGCGAGTCTGGTTCAAACTCAGAGCAGATTAGTGGTGGAGCACTCAGAGCAGAGGTGGTTTTGTGTCACCAACTTCTACCCAGCACGAGAGAAGCAAGGAGCAGCACAGCAGAAGGAGAAAGCTGAGGGATGGCTGAGGGACAGCAAAAATTAATTGAAAGYATTCAGATGGGTTATCTGCCCAGATCACAGAATCAGGGCATGGTTTGGGTTGAAGGAAACCTCAAGATTATCCATCCCAAGTTCCAAGAGACATGTTTCACCAGCCCAGGCTGCTCAGAGCTCCACCCAGCCTGGCCTTGGACACTTCCAGGGATGRGGCAGCCACAGCTTCTCTGGGCACCCTATGCCAGGCTATCCTCACAATAAASAATTTTCCCCTAATAGCCAATCTAAACYTACTCCCTTTCAGTTTGAAGCCATTYCMCTTGCCCYGTCACTCCAGACTGTTGTAAACAATCTCTCTCCACCTTTCTTGTAGCTYCCTTCAGATACTGGAAGGCYCCAACCCATCTCAGCCACYACTGATCCCACAGTGAGCTGTGCATGACAGCACCAGCAGGAGATCAYTGCAAGCACAAGGATTCAGCTCCAGCTGTGCCACGAGCTTCAGGCAAYGCCTTGGGAAAATCACTTTTCATGCCTCAGTGCTGTTTCATTTCCCTGCTCCTGGTCCTTTATAGAAAATAAGAGAAATATTCATATTTATCACCGATTTATGGTGATTATCACTCCCTTAACATTCAGGAAGATATCACAGAGTCATGGAATGGTTTGGGTWGGAGGGGACTTTAAAGATCATCTACCTCCAAMCCCCTGCCATGGGCAGGGACACMTTCCACKGTCCCAGGKKGMTCCAAGCCCTGTCCARYCTGGCCTTGGACACTTCCAGGGATCCAGGGGCAGCCACAKYTTCTCTGGGCACCCTGTGCCAGGGCCTCCCCACCCTCCCAGGGARCATCTCTTTGTAACACCCGATYTAAATCGACTCTGTGAGCTTAAAGAGGCTTTATGCACATKAAACATCACAAGGCACCCAGCCACCATGAAAGGAGAGAAATCCATCACTCCCTGAGACACACCAAAATCAAATTACTGCAAGCATTGGCACAGCAAAGCCTCAGTGATAGCTCAGGCACGGCTGYTCCAGCCAGGACCCCCGCTGGTTTCAGGGGAGATTAATGAATGCTCCCTCACTAATATTTTTAGCTGGATAGTCAAGTCACACCAGGAAACCTGATGCTGGAAACTCGATGCTGGAAACTGCTTAGGAAGAAACCCAAGCCAGCTACCCAACAGCCACTTGAATAGCTCTGGGTATCCTTGATCGCAAAGCTCCACGYTGCACCGTGACAGCAACAGAGGCTGCTGTGCCAAAAAAGAGGTCAACASTGAAACAGCCTCTCCTGACTACAGGCAGGCCAAAATCACACGTTCTAACCCATCAACAAGGCTCAAAATGCAAGATCTCTCCTGGCTGGCTGGCTGTTTTGGAGACATCTCCACTTAGAGCCACTGGCAAATTTTTTGTGGCGTCCAAAAAGTCACGTTCTCCTGACAGAGCTCTACCTGGGCTGCTGCCATGGTCCCTTGGGCCAATTCCCTGAGAAGCACTCTGTGATGGTGATTAAATAGCTCAATCTATGGGGAGAAGCCTTTATTTCTGCCCACCAAGTGCCCTTGCCAGATAGCAACTCGCCTGAGACACAAATTGCCCTTCCAGAACCACAGCTACCACCAGAGACAGGGACAACCAACAGGGAAACTTCTCCAGACAAAGCTTCTCACTTCTCTGCTGGTGATTCCCCCTTCCCAGACACTTGGAGCCATCTCCTCCATGAGTCAGGTCCCAATTTCCTTTGCATTTGAAGCACAAAATTTCCACTCATCCTCCCTGGAGGCAAAAACTGGCCAAAGTATCTTTTTCTCAAGCCCTGCTAAAGCTCTCTGGTATTTGTGGCTCCGCAGCACACTGAAATGCTCAAGCATGAACTGTAGGCCAGAAAAAGCAGGAATCCTACAGCTCTGAAAAGGAAAAACAAAATACAAGAGACACTTACGAGTTAGCAGCTTCCAACTATTTCTTATCAGAGGCAGATCCCGCATTTGGGCTTAGAATTTGCACTTTTGRGTGATTAAGTTCTCAGGTTACTTYCAGTCAAGTGTGTATGACTGAGAACCTTGGCACTGGTATTAGACAAGACAAATTAGGGATRAAGACATTTTCATTCCTGAGCATCGAATAGCTTATTTTAACTTCCATGATTCTATACCAAACTATGTTTTTGGTGGGTTTGTTTTTTTGGGTGTTTTTTTTGTGGTGGTGGTTTTGTTTTGGGTAGCATTTTCCTTGGTATTTATTTGCTTTGGGGTTGTTTTTTTTTTAAACTTGGGAAAAATGTTTCTAAAGCTATCATACATTTTCTTCCCACTACTAATTCAGCCTTCTGGAATATCTTTTCGGGACTTGAGCTGTCTTAGAAGCCTAAAGCAAAGCAGAATTAAAGAGCTCTCTGGGATTCCCTTAAAAGCCCCCAAGGCTTACAAGGCTACACAAACTAAAACCTCAAGCTATAAACTGCAACGAAGCCTGAAATACAAGATCTCAGGCACTGGCACAGCTGCCCAGGGGTCTGGTGGAGTCCCCATCTCTGGAAGGATTTAAAAGCCCTGTGGATGTGGCAACTGGGGACATGGTCAGTAACAGTGGAATGGTTGGACTTGGTGATCTTAAAGGGTTTTTCCGACCTGAATGATTCTGTGATTTACCAGGATCAGTGATGCTACAGGTTCCCMTGACAACAGCCCCTCCCTCCAAACATCAGGCAGGAAGTCAAAACAATTTAAAGCATCCTGAGCTTCACAACCCTAAAGACAGAACTTCTCATGGTATTAAATACAGAATCAGAGAATTAACAATGTGTTAGGTTGGGCTGGGAGGGATTTCAAAGATCACCAGTCCTACCCCTACCAYGGGCTTCCTTTCACTATCCCAGGKTGCTCCAAGTCCTGTCCAGMCTGGCTTTGGACACTTCCAGGGATCCAGGGGCAKCCACAGCTTCTCTGGGCACCYTGTGCCAGGGCCTCCCCACCCTCACTGGGAAGTTATCAAAATACCAACCCAGCTTCTCCCTGAGTACTCTGTTCACTTCCAGAGCTGAAAGTTTGCAGTAACAACAAAGCCTACACAGGCTCTTTTTGCACTTTCACCTTGTCATTATTGAGTTATAGTCTCAGGAGCAAGTGTAAACTAAGTGTGGGTTCCTAATCCTCCTCCTAGCCTGCTTGTTCCAGGGATTTCACTCCTGCTGAACCTCGTGAAGGATGACTGATTAGCTGGAATAAACAGGGAACCAAACCCCAGCCATGTCTATTGGGTGTCTCTGCTTCCAGCTCCAGAGGAGCTCAGATCCTCCACTCGGATCCCTGTGGAGGTAGCTGTAGAAAAGAAAGTGATGAATTAACATGTCAAGGAATTGTCTGGGACAAAAAGCAGCAGAACAATCAGAATAACAGAGAAATTGTTTGCAGTATGAGCAGCATGTGGTTATTTAGGTTAAAAGAAAGGGAGAAGAATTCAAGAGAAGAAGCGTTTAAATGCCTTTTGCTAAGGCCAGTGAAAAACAGCCCCACAGTGTGCTTCATGATCCTTTACTGTACTTCTGGATGATGAAAAAAGTAATAAATTGGTCACAGAGCAACCCTACTTACCTTCCTTGATGTGTGCAGTAACACGCAGCCAGCACCTTCACTTTCGGCTGGAAAGAGGAAAAAAAAAACCCACATCAGAGCAGTGTTACTATCAGAGGTACCTGACAGGCAGCAGGAGCAGAGCAGGAGGCTCAGGAGGAGGTGAAGCATCACTCTCTTGGCAGGGGATGATCTCTAGAGAAAAGCAGAGATTCAGTTTTTACAACATCTCCCATTTTGGAAGCGTGAACCAAGCGCAGGATTGGCATTATCTGATCACTTGGGGATTGTGTCTTGCAGCTTTTTTTGGCCAGATTTTTGTAATTCTGATGTATTTTTACTCTTCTCTTCTCCCCCCCACCCCCTCCTGGGCTCCACCTTCCCAAAAACCTAACTCCTAATCCTTTAAGTAATCATTTAATCCAATGCATCGTTGTTTGATAGATTGAGGCTACAATTGCCTGAGTCACCCTCGTTTGGAAACCCTCCTCGTCCTCRTTAAAGAGTCAACAATAACAGCCAGGCACTTCCAAGGGATTGCAGGCAGTGACTCCAAGATGAGCACATTAGTGTCCTGTCAACTCACCACGCTGCCTCCATAAATCTGAGGAGAAAACAACACAGCTCTTGGGAAAGAAAACTGCTGTTTAGGGACTAGTAAATGTCATTTCATACACAGCTGAGATCCAGGATGGGGGAACCCGGGAAATTCCCACTTCAAACTTCCAACTGCCAACAATAACATTTTCCTAGAGTATCTACAAAGTATTTAAATGCTATCAGCTACAAAACAAAACCAAACCAGGCTTTATTTGCCAAAAGCCCGCTCCCTGCATCCAAGGAAGCCTCTCTGTAGCATCACTTGTCCCACAGGTATTGTTTGTGCAGAGAATCATGGAATGGTTTGGGTTGGAAGGGACTTCCAAGACYACRTAGCTCAYCTTCCACTAGACCAGGCTGCTCCAAACCCCATCCAAGCCRGCCTTGAACACTTTCAGCCTGGCATTCTTCTTGTTAAGTCCTCCAAAAAAACCCCAAGATTGAGCTGCTACCACAATCAGACACGTGAACAGGTTTAATTCCAACGAGCACAGCAGCAGCATGGAAAAAACCCACTGAAGACCAAAACTTTTCCAGAGGCCAAGCTGTGGAAAACTACAGAGATGTAACACGGAGTTACAGCTACTCAGATGAGGCTTTTGCTTCCTTTCCMGATCTCCACTTCCAAATCCTAACCTATGACTTGACCACACACCTTCAAGCCAAGCCCTGCTACTCTCCAAAAAATAATCTGAGGGTGCAACTCATGTTAAAACTGCAGCAAAAAAAGCAATTTTTTTTTTTGCATGCAGAAAGCTGCTTTAATCAAAAACACTGTTGATCAAACAGAAATTTGAGTCTTGCCCTCGATRGGGTTAAAAGGCTGCAACTCAAAGTGGGAGCAGAGCAGTAGAGAAGAGGGGAAGGATTGACTTCATCTCCCCCTGAACAAAATGAGGCGGTTCAGAGGCTTGGGTTACATCACCCAGCTTCTCCCAAATTTCACTTGGATGCTGCACATGTGATTAAAAGCATCGCTTAACCAGACACGTCTGCTGCTGCAACAGTCCCAATTATTCCCGCTTTTGACACGCCTTTTGGAAAACACAAGCTGTTTCATCTAAAAAGTGCAATTTATTATTAAAAAGCAAGCACCCAAATAAACCAGAAACATCAAGCATTTTCCCCAGGCTCTCACATTTGTAGTTCTCCAGCGTTCACTTACCCAACTTCCAGCCTAATTACACATGCAGAAGTATGCGGGGAGATTTGGAAGCCCATAAATATTCATTGAGGAGAAAACATGTTTTGGTTTATCTGCTTTTGCAAGAAATAGTTCRGGAGAGACAAAAAACACCCACAACCCCCGAACAATAGCAAGCACATGCTGAAGAGAGCTCTGCTGCCTATCCTCATGGATCCATGGAAATGCCAACAGAAATTCAGGCTGTGCTTTTATCAGGCAGCAGCTCTTGGCTCCTCTTATCACTTTTGAGGTGTATCAATCTTTGCTGACAGCTCTCTCACGTATCCAGCTGGTGGAGCACCAAGTGCTGCTTTATCAACACAAGCAAAAACATCTMATTACATCTGTTGGATCAGGATCTTTCAAACTTCTCAGAAAAAGCTGTTCTGGGTGTGGAGGTGGCGTTTTGGAAAGGCCAGAGCCTCATTCATCATTCATCCCAAGAACACACCGCTTGGATTTAATCCGGGCAGGAGATGGATGGATTCCGCAATCCCAGTTCCGGGCTGGTATCTCAAATGGTCACTGGAGTGCTACAACATCACTCAGGGATAGCAGCAAATCTACTGGAACATGGAAAAGGGAAGGAAAAAACTACACAGAGACTTCTCGAGTTGTCTTCTGCCTTGCTCACGTTAAATATCTGTTGATTTCCTCCCAGTGTGGGATCAGACCCTGCAGGAGGTTGCCCATGACACATCCAAACCTCAAGTCCAACCACCACCAGCCTGCCACCCATTTTCTCTTCCTCCACAGCACCATCCCTGCCTTCTTCCAATCTAGGAAGGGGCAAAAAGATTCATCACCCTTGGCCTTTACACCTCCACAGAGGAGCCCTTCATGGGGATGACATGGACATAGAAAATCCTGAATTCACCCTGCAAAAAACTCCCCATCAATCACCTCAGCTACTCTCACTGCCAGGAGTAATAACTTGAAAACTCAGTATTTTAAGATTTCACACCTGAACATCACTATTAAGCATAATGAAAACACAATAARGAGGTCAGGGCTATAAAATTTTCATGTCTATTTTTGTGGCGCTCCTGGCTGGACAGAACARGCAGCAAAAGTCTATTTTAGGCAAGCGAGCGAGCGAAGGGCATTATTGTGTGTCCTCACACACAGCTGAGGGAGAGCTGCCAGGGGTGGCTGAGCTTATCTGTTGGGCTCAGTGCCAGGTCCTGCCCAGGGGAAAAGCCAAAAAGTCAGCGACGCATCCCTGACATCCCCTGGCAGCCACATCAAGGCGCCACGCGCATCCCGAATTTCTGGGATGCGTGCAGGCAGGCACGGAGCCTTACTGGGAATGCCACCAGTGACTCCCTGTGAGYTCAGTTCTGACAACACCGAGGAATTGTCAACATCAGAACTCATGGTATAATCAGGGCCCTGCCTCTCCTTTTTATTTCCCACCATTTTCCAACCAGGCCCCCTCCAACTTCAACACCAACGAGGAGATTTTATACTTGGAAGTTTATTTGCTCTGTTTCATCCCAGCTGCCCTAATAACATCCCTGAGACCAACCCAGAGAAACAAAATCCCCTCCTTGTTTCYCCTCCACCCCCTACTTAGATAACAATATCTGCCATGCAAGCCTGAAAACAAACCCTGAAAGTCAAATATCAAAGTTTAAGGCTTTTCACCTTTTGCCTTAAGAGATCTCCTTTCACACAAGATCTCCTTTCCAACCTTTACCTCATCCAGGGCCCCAGTGCTGCCCTTAACACCTGAGAAGATCCAAAAGCCTTTGGAGCAAAGGCACCACTGGATGCCTGTTGCATCTTAAGACAGTCATTTTCTTTGGGATAAAAGGAGTGGAAATTGGAGAAAAAGGAGATTTTTTTTCTTGGCTGTGCACATTTCTTTAGATCTACAAACACTCCCTGGTAAATATACATATTTACCATACAATATACTATCTTCATGGTAAATATACATATATATGTGCACAGTAAAATAGAGCAGAATACCATATTAGCACTTCCATGATTTTCTCTGAAAGGATCTGGTATGACTGGAAATATTTAAGGTTTGGAGGGCTTATTATTTTTTTAAAAAAAGGGTTTTTATCCTGATTTTTTTATCAAGGGGTCAGGGGTCTGACCAAATCTAATACTCAACCATTTGTGCTGAACCACAGCGTGAGAAGAAAAAACTATTCTGCTTTTAAAACCTGCCTTAAAAATATATGAATAAAAGCACATCACCACATGGCATGACAGGAGTTTATCAGGAGCGGTGGAGACACCTCTGAAACACCACTGCCGAGGATTGCACAAGCAGAATCTCAGATTCTTTGCTTTGTTGTGCTGAGCCTGGACTAATCACCATCAGATTTGAGTAATTTTGGTTAAATATCATTAGATAAATAACTGTGCTTTCATTATCCCACATTCCCACGCCAGGGTGACAGGCTGAGCTGCAGCAGAGAGCCCAAAGTCAGCTGAGTTCACCCCACAAATCCCAAGGTTAAAGGCAGGTGGGAATAAAGATTCTGGAGCAGCAAAAACACCTGAGCAGGTGAAGGACCATCCCCACCCACTCCTGGGTGGGAAATTGGGAAGAGAGGGGACAGCACAGAGACTCCTGAATGGAGMCAGGGACAAGGCAAGAGTGCAGAGCGTGGTGTCACTTGTCACACCTATGTGCTATAAAAGCCAAATATTTAATGAAAAAAACCCACCTGCAGCAGGTTTTGTCATTCAATTTGGGGCAGGGGGAAAATGGCTGTTTTTTTCATGCACTCTAAATCCCATGGGAAGCCGCTCCAAAGGAGCAAGGTGAAGCAYGGAGAAGGGAGAACTCTGCCTCCGTGCAGAACCACCCAGCCTCCCCCCACACCTCCCTCGGCTTCCTAAGCAGCGCTTTGAAAACACCCTGGTCAGGAAATTCGGAGGGAGGCCGTCCCCTCCCCGGCACACAATCGGTATATCCACTTTCCATTAGAGGGTAGGAAGCCTCAGGAGCCCAACATCCCACTCTGACATCAAACTGCTAAAACAGGAGTTATCAGATGGAACGCGTGGGTCAGCATTGTGCCTCGAGACATAAAAAGGACCTTGGTATTAATGTGAGGAAATGTGACTATTGTGTGCAGAGTGATACCCATTCAAGCCCAGACCACTTGTCTCTGGACGCTACTCTCCCTGGAATATCCTTGGCGCCAGCATCCAGCTTTTCTCCTCGTCCCCTTGAAGAAAAAAAGTCATCTGGGCAGGGGCTGGGCCAGGAATTGGATGCAGTGTTTTGCCGGGAGCAGCAGCGGCGGGCGTGCACGTGTGTGCTTCTGGAGCGGGATACAGGAAACTGTTGATTCTCTGTATCTAGGAATGATCAATTGTCCAGAGGGTGGAACAGCTTTTAATTTCTCCTGAAGCGTAATTTGTGTTCCGCTGCTTCCCCCCCCCACACCCCAGCAGAGCCACATCCTGCTTTCCAATTGGCCTCTCGCTGCTGCTCAGGATTTTGCCTTTTCTCCCCAAACTGCTGCAGGCACCTCTGAAATCACCAATCTGAGCATCAGCTGCACGTGGGGAAAAGTTAAGCAGCTACAGCTCCACAAATCCTTTATAAATTGTGCCTAAATTTAAGAAAATCCTGTGCAAACCCCTCTAATGCAATTTGGGTAAAGAAAAGGTGAATTATTTCAGAAACTCAGACTACAAAAACGACATCCACAGAACTGTTTTAAAACCCCAAACTACAAGAACAAGGTCCACGTGATTGTTTTAAAACTTTAAACTAAAAAAAACCCAAGGTCCAAACGATGAAAATATGTGCCTGGGTGATTCAAGGGAGCTGCCAAGGAGGTAAGAATGCTGTGACTGATAACAAAGATGTGTCCCCACATATTCCTATCTCCCTTCAGCCTAGGAAGGGGCAAAAAGACTGATTACCTTTGGCCCTTACACCTCCACAGAGGAGCCCTTCATGGGGATGACATGGATACAGAAAATCCTGAATTTGGCATCACCTGTCCACCAGTGTAAGGCTCAGCCTAAACCAAACTGCTCTATYCATCTGCAGGGATTTAATTCCAGGCGTGCTGTGGATAAAGCTTTCTTAACAAGAGCCAGGACAAGGGGGAATGGCTTCCCACTTGCAGATTTAGATTAGACCTGAAAAATAATTTTTTTTTTTTTTACAATGAGGACGGTGAGGCCCTGGCCCAGGTTGCCCAGAGAAGCTGTGGCTGCCCCTGGAAGTGTCCAAGGTCAGGCTGGATGGGGCTTGGAGCAAACTGGTCTAGTGGAAAACATTCCAGCTTACTGCAGGGGGGTTGGACCAGATGACCTTTAAAGGTCACTTCCCACCCAAACAATTCTGTGATTTTACTTGCAAACATTTATTGTGACTTCAGAAAAAGCCTCAGCATAAAAACCACTCCGATATTCTCCTAAAAATGCAGATCCCAGATCCAAAAGCTTCCAGCTTCAGATAAACAACAACCCCCATATTAAGAGCTACTAAAATTTGCTGAAAACAAATGTTACCACCAAAATCTAAGCTACAAAGATGAAAAGCAGAAAAGAATAAAAAAAAACCTTTCATCAGTTAACGCAAGGAATCACTGAAACACCCAGGAGAAATGACCCAAATGTCACTACTGAGCAGCATTTCAGTGCTCAGGCATCTGCACTGCTTTGGGCTCAGTATTCCCTGCAAAGGCAGCCAGTATTAATTAAAAATAAGAACAGGCCATGCCTTAAACCCCAGATTTCTTCAAGCCCATCTTGTTTTTCACACACCTGTGCACAAAGCCCAGCATTTTCTGCCAATGGTCAATTGTTGGAGTTTCATGATTCGTGCTGTGTTTTGTTGGCTCGAAGCTTAATCCCACGCAGAGATCTTTTAAAAACAGAATTATAGTGAAGAGCATCCAATTATGCYCATGGGGAGCTGCACACACATCACACAGAGACCAACAGCTCAACAGGATGATGCAGAGCTCTTGCTCAATCTCTAAATCCACTTTTCATTCCACTTTTCCTGCCTGCCAGCACCTGGACCCCAGGGTTCCAACTTAKCCCCTTCCCAGATGGGAATTTTGGATCTAAGGTGGGCAGCAACCTCACAGCAGCTGACCCAAAAAGGTCTCCAGCAGGAGAGAGTTTGAGCACCACATTCAGCCAAGAGGACACACTTCAGCTCAAATGTTTCACTCAGCTCAGAGAAAGCAGGAAAATATGAAAAGGATGCAAAAATGTCATTCCCATGCTTGGTTTTCCTCTGTGATTTCAGAGCAGAAGAGGGTCTTGTAGGATCCTGGTGCACCAGCTCTCTTGGGGTAGGAAATCAAGTGTTTGGGGCATCTGCAATTGCCTGGAGAAAYCCTACTTTTATTTCCCCCTCCTTTTCAGCTTGTCTTGCTCTGGACAGTCCCTGCAAAGGCTCAGCTTCACAGTTTTGTTGCAGGAAATCAAAGCCTGATTCAAAAAATCAAAGCCTATTAAAAAAAAAACCTCCCAAAGCTTCCAAAGAGTGGCAGGAATGGAAGGGAATTCCTGAACAGGGAAAAAATTCACTCCTAGACACACCTTGGCTATGATATTATATCATTTGGCTATGATATAATTAAACCTCAGTTTGGGAATAAGGTATTTTTTCAACASTTCAGGATATTTTTCTCAGAAGAGCCTAAGGGATTTATCTCAGCCACCTTCAGCCACCCAAAAAGTCACTCTTGCAGGAGGATCAGCTGTGCCCTCTGCAGCCACAGACTAATTTGATATGTATAAAATGCACCCTGGAAGAACTCCAATAAAACCACCTCTGAAAAGGAACTGATAGCCCAGATGACACCAAAACCTGGACTCCAATGAATTCTATGCCTAATGGTGAAAAAGTTGAATTTTGGCTACCTGGATCACTTTAACGCTGTAATGAGGGGGAAAAAAATTTAAAAAAATATTTATGCCCACATGTTCTTATTAAAAGTCTGGGCTGTCTGCCCACATGTTCTAATTAAAAGTCCTGGATTTTCGTTCTGCCTGAAGTTCATTTTAAAAATCACCATCCTTCCATTTGAAACAGGACCCCAGCACCCCAGAAGTCAATTTTTCCTTAAAAATCCTAAATATCTCCTCTGAAAAAAAAAAAAAAAAAGGATACAACTAATAGCACCATCATAAACAGCAGTGCTTCAGGGAAATAAGGAAGCCTTTTTTGTCCTGTTTTGAGTGGAAGGGAAAACACAAAAAGCCCAGGAGGACACACAAGGAAAGCRAACTTCTTCAGATGCAGAAGAATCCACAGCACTCGCATTCCTCATCCCCAAACAATGCACCCCACGGCATTAAGTCCRGACTTGTCATAGCAGAGCACAGTTCCCTTAAATCTTTCAATTAAGATGGCATTTGTAAAATTGCAGGCTTGGAAATTGCTGGATGTTATTCCTAAATTCAACTCTTTGCTCAGAGTCAAAAGGCAGACTCCAAAATAGACAAAGAGGGCTCCAGGCCGTGCCTAATCTGCATCACCATTCCCAATAACTGCTYGTTGAAGATCAATTGGGATTTGCATGCAACCTAAAAATAACTTTTAACCAACTTAAAGGACTCTCTGATCTTGTGACACTGAGAATCATCCAGAGGTTTTGCATTTAACCTCTGAAATAAGCAGTGCCCACACAGGCAGCCTCGAGCTGCTGGGACAAACCCCAGGCTGCTGCTKTGTCCAAGAGCTGCGTTTTCCTGGGTATATCCCACAAAATCAGCTTTCACAGACTATTTTGGGTGGAAGGGATATAAAACACCATCCCATTCCACTCCCACTCACAGGCAGACACCTTCCACAAAACCAGGTTGCTCCAAGCCTCGTCCAACCTGGCCTTGAACACTTCCAGGGAATAAAGAAGGTTAAGTTATGTCTAACTCCAGAACTTCTTATCTTAATATAATTAAAAACATTTCCTAAAAGAAAATAAAATGGTTGCTACAGCTAAGCAAGATTGTCACAGCCACAATAAAAAACTCTTTAATTGCCCTCTCCTAAAACCTCTGCTTCTTAGACCTAGCTTGGCACTGCAAGTTCAGATCTGTATTCCCTACTTCTTCCAGCTTTACTTTTCAAAGGATTCACTAAATATCAGTACCAGTTTTTATGGGAAATTAAGTGAACGGGATTTTGTACAGGGGAAAAAAAAMCCTGTTCAAAATSRCGTATGAAATGAAACAAAGAAAWTGACAGAAGTCTTTGRTAAAGAACTTCACAAGCAGAACTTARTATCTTAAAACACCGTGAGAGAAGCAAAGGTTGAAGGATGGGTTGGATGGGGCCTAGTGGAGAATATCCCTGCCCTTACCGAAATGATGTTTAAAAAAAAAAACCCTAAACCACCGTGATCCCATGAAATCCCAGCACCAGCACCAACCCCCCTTCCCACCCCATCCCCATTTTCGGGGGGTCACTCACCGGTGGCGCTGGGAGTGCCCTCGAGGTTGACGTTGACGAAGAAGCGGATGCTGTCCCCGGACACGATGGTGGAATTGACGCCATCGAAGAGCTCTTCACCCGCTGCCTCCTCCTTCGCGTCGTCCGTGTCGCATTTGAGGTACCCTGACAACGACATGGGGGTGCCATAAGAGGGAAGCAGGTTCTCCTTGGCCTCCGTTTGGGAGGAAGAGTCCGAGTCTGACTCCATGGCTGGAGAGGTTTGTGCCACTGCCGCTGTCAGAGGCTGCGCCGAGGCCCCGCCAGGGCCTGACCGGGGAGGAACGGCCCCGCTGTGTTTTGGGGAGGCCTCAGGGCTTCATTCCTCGGCCCAAACAGYGCAGGAAGCGAGGTCCAGAATTGACTCCTCGCTGTTCTTGGGTAAAAAACACCGTGAGGGTGAAAAGATGGAGGGAAAGCATAAAAATGGCACYGAAAGGAAGAGCGGCGCCTCGGCCCACCCCGAACCCAACGCCTGCGCCAAGCTGAGGATGCGCTGAATGCGATGCAGCAATTTGAAAATACAGGTGGAAAATTAAAAAAAAAAAAATAAATAAAATAAATAGATGAAGTTTCCAAGGAGACACCTGATATGGACAGAGAGACTCAGCAGCTCCCCACAGGGCAGAGGAGCGGGTCGCTGGGGGTGGCAGCGCTGAGAATGCGAGACAAGTTTCTTAATTACAGCAGRCAACTTCTTAGCCTTTTGCAAGGCTTTAATTAGAGTTTAACCCAGGCTCATCCAACAGCAAACTGGTCCCTGCAACATCTCATTACGGAGCAGCTGGAGGACTCTTGTAGCACACTCATGTATCATGTTTAATTAGGAGAATTAGGGACATTATAGAATGTCGATTTTTACATTACCAGGATTATTCAGCAGCTTCTCCTCGTCTTCTKACAAGTCTTTTATGCCTAATTTGAAGCAGGAGGGAGATATTTCATTAGCTGGCTTTAGGCACTACAGTGAAATGAAAAGGGGGAGCTTCAAGGCAGAGGCYTGAATGGAAACTAAAATATTGATGGCTTTTTTTAAAGCCTCGTCTAAGCAAATGTGGAGGCAGCAGCTGAAAGCAGCACATGCTGCCTCCGAGGGATCGAGCCGACAGTTCTCCACCACAAAACACAACCCCAGAGGAGTGAGACCACAAACAGGAACTCGGCGACACAGACAGGGGCTGCAGCATTTCCTGCCATGAGCTGATGGAGCTCAGGAGGGCTCAGAGGGTGCAAAGGGGCTGCAGGAGCTTCCAGCCTGCAGATGACTTCCAAACTGCACATCAAAGCATGAGAAACCTGATAAAACCCCTCAGATTAATCCCCTCCTGGTCTGTGTCTCCTTCTCCTTACAGCTTGACAGGAATAAATGGGAACGAGCCCTTTCAGAGCTGCTCTGAAGGTTCAAAAAGCGTCCAAGGCGCTGCTGTCCCCATCCTGCAAAGCACAGYGAGGATATCACCCTCTGTTGCTGGCATAGCTTAGGGTGTTTGCATCCCTGCACGATGGAAAAAAGGGAGATGAGGAAAGTACAGGAATCACCTGAACTCTGTGGGCACCACCAGATATGAAATCTCTGCTGGCGGATCAGGTTGAGGGATGGACAACAGCCAGACAAGGTGCCTGCTGCCATCAGAAGTACTACAAAGTCCCCCACAAGCACCTCAATCTCAAACTAAGTACCAAACTTGGGGTTTGGTTTCTCCAAAATGCAGGACGGACATCATAACCTCTCCTCAAAGCTGAGTACCCACAGTGCTGATGTTCCCCCAGTGCCAATACAGTTTAGGCAGCCCTGCAAAGGAAAAAAATCAGCACAAGGAAGGTTTTTTCTGCCTCAACTTCACCCAGAATTGCACCCTCAATGGAGTTTTGAGCTTCTTCTCCAACCTTCCCACTTGCTGGGTCAGAGAGGAGACACATAAAATGGTCTGAGCACCCAGCTCTGAGAACATGGGTGAACTTTTCCTCCCTGTCCTGAGGGAATTAAAGACTCAGATAGGTGAACAGGGAAAAGTCAAGCAGGAAACATGATTTCTTCCCCTCCCCACCCACTGAAACTGGTTTGTAAGAGGGTGGCAGGGATGGCCTCTGAAAAGGGAGAGGGCTGGAGACAGCRGAGGAGCAGCCCAGGAGCTGGAAGAAGGGCAAGGGTGGAGTAGGATCAGAGGGTTGGGCAGAGGTCAGCGAGGACTCTGGCAAGGGAAGCATCCTCTGTTCCTCCCTCTTTAGGGGAGGAAAGAGCAGAACAAAAGGCAGCCGAGCTTCGCGTCCCTTGGGCAAGGGACGGACAAAACACTCGGTTTGCAAATAATCCCCAACCTGGGCTGGACAGGAACTGCACTCCCAGACAGGTGTCTGCTTTGTCACTAAACCACCTCCAGGCTCCAGACCGCTCCTGTTTGGAATCCTTCAGCCTGTTTAGTCAGCCAGGAGTTGGAAACCACTGAGCCTGTCAAATGCAGGGTCACCTCGAGGTGACACGGGCTGTGTGTGTGGCAGATGCACCTTCCCTCCGAGCTCCAGCCCTGCCTCCAGCCCTGGCAGCTGTTTTCCTCCCCATCCCCTGATGTCCCCCGAGTGCCACCCCCGCTGYTTGAAGGGCAGCAGATGCCACAAGCGACAGCAGAAGCTGTTCAGCTCCCCTGGAAGTCTGATGGGTGTTTTGCAGAAGTTCAGAGCAGGATCTGATGTGGCTGTTGCATAAKTTGTGCAAATACCAATCGGGTTTTTCCACGTGGAAGTGCAGTCCCAGGAACCCTTTGCAGGCTTTGTCAGGAGCAGAGATGGAGGGCTGAGTTAAACAAACACCTTTTCATTGGTGTTTTGCTCAGATTTCCTGGGGGAAAGATCTCCAAATTGGTGCTCCCCCATCTTTATCACTGCATGTTCATACCCTCAGATGAAGGCAGCATTTGCTGAAGTGCCATGAGCTACCTGACAGGGCCAGTCAAGAGTTGTGAGCACAGAAAGTGCCACTTCAGCCCAAAATACGGTTTAGAAGTAGTGGAAAAAAGAGGTTTGGCTGAGGAGGAGCTGGGATTTCAGCTCAAGCTGGCTGAGATGAGTGYAGCCCTCCTGCACCGTGAAGAACACATTGCGGTCAGGATAATCCCCTCAGTCCACCCTGCAGGACTCATCTCATGACAAAGAAATGGAAAAACACAGAAAGTGCATGAGAGCAGAAATAAAACCCCCTTCTCACCCTCTGCAGCCAGAAGCAGCAAATGCTTTCACCTTAAATCTTCCTTTACCTTAAAGGCTTTACCTCATCCCATCCTACGCAACATGAAAAGAAACCAATCCCCCATTTTATGCAGGTGCTGGGAAGAAAAGAAAAACAATAATTTTGATTTCTCTGGTGATTCTCCTTCAAAGCATCACCCCTTCCTCTGTAATTCATCACTGGCCCAGACCTGCCGTGCTCAAAAATCCCAATACCCACCCAAGACCAGGCTGGATGGGGTGTGGAGCACCCTGCTCTAATGGGAGCTGTCCCAGCCCATGGCAAGAGGGTGGAACTGGACAATCTTTAAGGTCCCTTCCAACTCAAACCATTCTAGGTTTCCATTACTCCATCCCCACCATTTTCTCTTTGSTCTCATCCCATTCTCAGCTCCACTTCATCTGCTGCCTCCTGCTGCTCCCAGCTCTGACAAGGTGCCTGCCCTGTGGCTATTTTGCTTTGGAGCTGAGTTTTAGGGCCCAGGGCTCTGCAGGGAGCAGCAGTGACTGCAGCTGCTGCCATCAGAGGTGGCACAATGTGCCCCACAGCTGCTCTGGTGGCACCTGGAGCAATAAAATCAGTGGAGTTGTGGTGAGCAGGAAGCTCAGCCACAGCCACATCAGATGAATTCCCTGCAAAAGCTCAAGTGAGAGCAGCACTCGCAGCCCAAGGGCTGCAGGCTTCTCCAGGAAAGCCAAAAACCTTAATCAAGCTCAATTTCCTGGGAGAAAAGCAGCTTTATTACTAAAAACATCCTCTCACACCCCAGGTGACGAGACTCATTCCAACCACAGCCCCTGCACGACCTCTCGAGGCTCTCAGATGACAAAACCAATTGTGGAATTTTAACCAACATCTGCAGGCACCAGCCACTGACACAAAGCACTTTTCTGGAAGCAGCAGATTTTTACCCTCAACTTCCAAGCCTGGAAAATGTGTAGAAATTTAAATTCCCTCCATCAAATCCAATCCCCAGCTTCCAGAATCATGGAATTGCATCTCCTCCTCTTCACAAATGGGAGTTGCCCCCTCCCAAAAAGTCTCCTCAGAAAGCCAAAAACCTCAATCTACATTAAAAGAGGTTTTTTGAGCTGTGAYTGGCAATCCAAGATTATCAGCTTGTAATGTTAAAAGCCATTTCAGATTTCTCAAGTGAGTTTTCAGGCACAGAAGGCAGCAAATTGTTTTGGAAGAGCCCGAGAACCATTTCTGCATCCATTTTCTCAGAGGAATTACAGATCAAGYACAGAAGGTCAAAGGAATCAATGACAATAATATACATTCAATCGCTTTTAAAGGTAAAGGAACATCCACTGGGACATGGGCATTACCCTGAAATCCAGCCTGGTTCTTTTGAGCATCCCAGTGCTCAGCTGTGACAGAGTATTAAGGAACTCCAGAGAGATTTAAGCCCTGGATCTACCTAAAAACTTCTGATAATAACAGCATTAAGTTTAAAAAAAAGTCAGCTTCACCTAATTTTCCTACCCGTGGATTTTCAACTTCATCCAGCCAACAACAGACACTAATTTTCAAGAAAGGCATRAAGTTTTAATTAACCTGAGCTGATCAGCCTGAGCTTTCAGCTCTCAGAGGGTTTGCTCTGCTCCCTGCAGGATTCGATTCGCTGCGTCACTTGGAGAACACCCAAATCCCAATTTTAGGTGCAAATTAATAATGGAGCATCCACCTCCATCCTGACCTTTACACTCTGCACAGAAACACRGATTCCTGGTGCCTCCATAGGTTAGGTAACCTTACAGTTAATGCTGCAGGGAGGGAGCAATCAGCAGAGATCTGAAAAAAAMAAGTGTTATCAGTTCTCCAATCCCCAGAGCATTCTAGAAATAAAAAAGGGTTGAAACAGCACCCTTGAAACAGCACTCACACATGAACCAAAGTT